TTTCTTGCTACGGGTAGGACAATTCTGGTCACTTGCCACATGGTCAGTGTAATTACAGCAAAGACAGCCACTCACTTTTGTCTCCTGAGAACTACTAGATGGTTTACCAGGCTTATTTCCTCTGCCTCTACCCTGTGCTGTCCTTTTTCCTGTTCCTTTGTTGTGAGGTTTGCCGGAGACAGCATTCACCTGACCAGATGACTGATCCATAGCTTTGACCTGCATGTTCACTGCTTCCTACACAAGAGCCAAATCTTGTAAACCCCTCAGAGTAGCATTTGTTTTCTCAAGGAACTTACAGCGAAGTCTGTGATGCCTGCATCTCTCAATAAGCTGATTCCTTGTTGCCTCATCAACATTTTCAAACTCACAGGAGATTGCTTTCTGCTTCAACTGACAAAAGAACTGATCCACCGACTCTCCTGACATTTGTTCCATTTGCCTAAACTGACGTCTTTCAAACTGAACATTCAACTGTGGTGCGAAATAGTTATCCAACAACACCATACTCTTAGCGAACGGCTTGATATCTGTTCCAGTCAATAACGTGTAATAAAGCTCCTGAAAATTCAACCCTCCAGTATGCAACAGAAATGCAGTTTTCTGTTCATCTTTCGTAATACCCTTTGCCACCAAATACAGATTAAACAAGCATTTCCACAACTTCCAGTGAGCTGCAAGGGTGTTCAGATCTTCCTTTGGATTGAAGGGGGAAAGGCTGGCCACATCAAGAAGAGGAATAAACGTCGCAGCTGGCAAAGCTTGTGAACTTGAAGTTGTACTCAAACTGGTTCCACTGTCCATCACCTTTCTGACAAAATGCTAGGACTTTCCACACAAATGACTTCTAAAAACATCCACTACCTCATAAAACGAATTGAATCCTTGTCGCCAATGTAACGATGTCACCCAGATGGCCGTATAATAAACCAGAGTTAACTATAGAAAGAAAATACACTTTATTTGGCTGCCATGACACCTGGAAAGCATGGCCCACACAACTATCCATGATCCTTTGCACGTTTTCAATGTCCGAGAACTTCGGCTAACACAACTTCCGGTAAACAATACTATCAACGCATTACATTTACAAGTTTGTACTTTTTAGGGAAAGTAATTAAATTTAAATTCAGTTTATTGGAAATTTCCTTAACATACACTGCACAGTGAGTATAAACAATTAAGAAGGGGATCATTTGTTGCCACTTCTTCAGGAGAATTTGTTACTATTTTATGAGATCCATTTAAATTAATAGGTATTACATTAAATGATCAGCTGACCAATTAGTGACGGTAAGTGATGGATGGTTTCTTGTGTAGAAAAGCCCCTTTGCCTAAGTGACTTTATTATTACGTATTTAATCAGTTTCGTGGGATTGCTTTCAATGTCACAATTACAGAGAATGGAATTGAATGCAGATTTCATAGCGGAGGAATGTGGCTTGCCTTTTGATGCATATTTGGCAAGGTATTCAACACAAGCATGATAATCATTGACTACCTGAATGTCACAATTGGCTCTCCAGCCCTGCAGTTGAAGGTGTTGGTGATTATTAAGTCTAGTTACTATCTTTACTTTGTATTGGTTGGGTTCTTTTTCTGAATGTATAGGCTCAAATTGAAGCTTTATACATGGGCAAGGTTCAAATGGAAAGTTAAACTTACACTGAAGATTTGAATCATTTTTCATTTTTTGAAGACAATAATTTAAACTGCAGAGAGTGTGTCTTTGGACAGTATTCAGTAAATAAATGCAATCATCAGTACTCTATGTGGTTGTGATGTTTCTGACAAGGATGAATTGACGATTTTAGCCAAATACCATCGTCTGAAGGGACTGGATGGTATGTGGATACCAACCAGTCCACATACTGGTAGAATCGGCCCTGGACCATTTTTCAGTTTAGCAACTCCATGGCAATGAATACTTCCCCTCGCTTGGTATTCAAATCTGTACCAGTACTCCTCTGCATTTAGTAAATTATTCGACCAAAACTTAATAACCTTTTCCAAGCCTTGGGTGAAAAACCAATTGGTAATATGAGGACTGTTTACAACATTCTGATGCCTGTGCTCAGCTGTGCGATCATTTTCACTACCAAAGAGTGCATGTAATTCAGGCCAGTGCATATCAGCTGATGGAAATATAAAAAATAGAGTTTGTGGTCCAACATGGCTAATGATTGTTTTTACATCTTCTTGAACCAGTAAGCATTTGATCCACTGATATAACCAAGACAGCGTGATAATGTAGAAAGAAATACATCAGCATTGTTATTGGCTGCCATTTGCTGAAGCTCTTCTATTGTAAGATTTGCTTCAGCTTGATTCTGGTTGAGAAATGTTCCCGTTTGCTGTTATTTGCTATTCAATGCCCAGTATGAAAGTCTAGGGTGTGAGGCAAAGCAATAAATCAATTTACTGTCTTTCTTTTCTGCATATTTTAAAAGATGCTTCATTGCTTCTCCGAGTGGTTCATCTTTGTAAAGAGATAGGTTTGTAAGGTCATCACCCTTACCATTAGTAAACAAAGTTGGGAAAGCCATCGTTGCAAGAAATGGAGTTTTGTACTCATTTAATTGGTCAGTATCTACTTTTGGTCAAGAGATGGCCTCATCATGATGGGTTGAAGATAATTGTTCTTGAATAGCTTTAATTGCCTGCTGTTCTCACTGGGGAATGGAAAGAAAGCTATTTATTTCTGTTTCTTCATTATAAACAATGTTCTCTTCATTTTTAGGACCAAGATCAACCTCATTAAAATCAGACTCAGTAATATGAATGACACAGTTGTGTCAATTTGCTACTGCCTGAATGACTACATTGTCACATCATGTGCCTGCATTTGACATTTGTTTCATATAATTTTCTCAAGTGTCATCACCAATACTTTCAACATACAATTCTGGGTAATTATTTAAATGGGCTATTCCTAACAAACGAATTTGAAAGTGTAAATCAGAAGTTCCATAGAGCTTAGGGAAACTGATTTGAAAAAACAATCACCACTGCCACCAACATATGGCATTTAACTGACCCTACCAACATCTCATCAGGAAGAACGCCTCCTTTTAAAGTATGCGTTATTGTCAAATTTACATGTAGCTGTGATTTTAATGTTAGCAGTGACACACACTTCTCTATGTTTCAGAGTTGTACCCATTGACATGTACATGACATTTTAAGTTCTGAAAGAAAAAAACATTTACTGAAATATGCGACATGCATGAATATATGTAATTGCAACACAGAAGTCTAATGAATGAATTGTGGGAACACTATTTTTCAGAAGAATTCAATTTTTTGGTCTGATAAATTATCTCTAGAAAACTCTATCCCTTATTCTCTGATTTTCTCTTTTAACAGACCAGATTCTCTCAAAATCCCTTGCAATTACAGATAAACAATTACTCTTTTCAATTATTTCTTGACCTTCTTCAGTATTACAGTTAGCACTAAATCCACACAATGTTAATTTCTTTACATATTCAAGGCAAAGAAAACTATTCACTAAAGCCTAACGGGAAGTCGTGTATGACTTGCAGTAACAAGTTTTCCGGAAACATAAAAAAATCGTTGCTAAATTCCATACTACATGACTTGGATGGTTACATTTGTGACCAGAAGTCACAGCTTTATTCTGAGCTACATAACTCGGATGGTAAGATTTGCAACCAGAAATAGTGGCCAATTTTTTAACTACACCACTCCGTGCATTACATTTCTGATCACAAATCATGGCCAGTTTTGGAACACCACCACTTGGTGAGTTAAATTTCTGACTGCAAATCATGGCCGCTTTCTGAACTACACAACTTGAGCTTCATTAACTCAGTTGTTTGTTGCTGACGATGGGCGATTTGGTCTCACAGGGCCAAACTCTACCTTCATACATACATACACCTTTATTCAAATTCTATATACAAATAAATTTATATATAAAAATTTGAAAAGGGGAGTTTGGAGGTTAGCCCTATATAACGACTCCCCTGAATAAAAAATAAAAAGTAACAAATGTAGAACTATGTACAGAAAAAAAAAAAAAAAAAATGAAGAAGAAGAAAGGAACTATCTAATGTTTACAATTTTAAAAATATTTTTAATCTTAATTTAAAAAGTTCCAGAGTCCCTGCCTCTACAATATGCTTTGGTAAATTGTTCCAATCGCTAACTACCCTAATAAAAAAAGAATTTTTAAAACAATTTATCCTCGAAGATTTGAAGTAAAGTTTATAAGAATGATTAGCCCTTGTGGAGCGCACTTTTGTAAATTCGAAAAATTCTTGAAAGTCTAGATGGGAGAGGCCAAAAACAATCTTGTAACATTCCACAAGTGAAAAGTAGGTTCTCCGTGTGGATAAAAGAGACCAGTTTAAAATGTTACATCGTTCCTCGTACGGCATTTCACCTCGTTTCTGTCTGAGAGCTAATCTCGATGCACGGCGTTGCACGTTCTCGATTGCATGTATATCTTTCACAAGGTAGGGATTCCACACTGGTACAGCATACTCTAATAGAGGTCTCACCAAAGATTTGTAAAGCAGTGAAAAAGTACTTGTATTGGCTGTTCCAACAGTCCGCCTAACGAGTCCCAGGACTTGGTTGGCTTTGTTTACTATGATACTGATGTGTTGAGACCAGGAGAGATCTTTTGAGATTACAACTCCAAGATCTTTAAAGCTATTAACGTCCTTTAAGGTCGAGCCGAGAGTGTAATCCGTAGACGATTTTTCACGGGAATGCGTTATACGCATTGCTTCACACTTTTCGTCATTGAAACGTAATTGCCATGTATTCACCCAGTGGCCGAGGCTATCATATATTGCTAGTGATATAAACCCACGAGGTCAAACAACATGGCCGCTTCAACACAACTTTATTCCAGCAATGTATTCTGGGTACATACACAGTAACCCTAGAGGGTACTTAATATATTACACTGCTTTCCCCTTACAAATAAGATATCCTTACAAGTAACACAATAGTAGCTATAACATTCACTACAGGTTCAGTCGGTCAACAGGTTTCCTAATTCTCTCTGATCGCCTCAGAACAACCGGCGATGGTGTGTTTACATTCTCTTCACTAATACTAGAATTAGGCTCATTATCTTTATCTGAAAAATTGACTGGTGGCTGCGGCACCCCGGATGAAACTTGGCTATTATCTACACTTAGAGTAGGTTGCTCACACAGTTCTGGGACAGGTATGTCCAACTCTCTAGTTTCATGTGGCACCTGATCATGTGCTTTAATTAAATGATCAACATGAACATATCTGGTCTTATAGCCAGTCTTAACTAAATATGTTCTGGGTCCACAGACCTTAACTACCCTTCCCAGAATCCACCTCTCAGTATTGCTACGGGCTTGAGTATTTCTCACTCGAACTATGTCATTCTCTGCAAACAGCCTATCTTGATGACCCTTTAAATCCTTATATTCCTTCTGCTTATTTTGTTTACTCTCTACGGTTTTGGCTAGATCAGGTTTCACTAGAGTTAAACGAGTACGCAGTCTACGTCTCATCAACAGTTCTGCTGGCGTAGCACCTGTGGTGCTGTGTGGGGTGGTACGGTATCTCAAGAGGAAGTCTGCTAGTCTATGTTTGATAGACCTTCCCTTGTTTCCCTCTAGAACTTGTTTGACAAGCGCCTCCTTTACCACCCTGACTGATCTCTCAGCAGCACCATTTGATTGTGGGTGATAAGGAGGAGTTAGGGTATGTTTAATGCCATTTTTATACATAAACTCAGCAAACTCACTTGAAACAAATTGTGGCCCATTATCTGATACCAACTCCTCGGGCAAACCATGTTGGGCAAATATAAGACGCAACTCATTTATGGTTTTCTCTGTGGTGATTGAGGTCATGTGCTTAACCTCTATCCATTTTGAAAAACTATCAACCACCACAAAAAAAAAATCACTCCCTTTCTGACAAAAATCAACATGAATACGCTGAAAGGGTCGCGTGGCCCATTTCCAGGGTATCAATGGGGCACAAGGTGGAGAGGTCCGCACATCCTGACACACTGAGCATAGTTTAATCTTTTGTTCAATTTCCTCATCCATCTTGGGCCACCAAACACAGGTGCGTGCTATTGCTTTCATTGCACAAATGCCTGGGTGCTCCCAATGCAACTCCTCCAACATCTTTTCCCTAAATACTGGGGGAATGATCACCCTGGAACCCCAGAGAATGCAATTTTGTTCGCAAGAAAGTTCATGTCGACAGGTGTAATAGGGTTTTAAATCTTCATCACAAACCTCTGGCCACCCCACCATGACCCAATCAAGTACCTTGCTTAACCCTGGATCCATCAATGTAGCTTTCCCAATCTCTTTTGCAGTTATGGGGAAATCTTTGTCAATGGCACTTACATTGTAAATCTCACTCTCACTGCCAATCTTAGACTCTTCATGGGGTAATCTAGAAAGGGCGTCACAGTTGCTGTGCTTCTCGGAGCTCCTGTACTCAATGTTATAGTCATATGCTGAAAGGACAAGTGCCCAGCGCTGCATACGGGCAGCTGCAAGTGTGGGTATAGCAGCTTTTGGGCCCAAAATAGCCAACAATGGCTGGTGGTCAGTTACTAAAGTGAACTTTCGTCCATATAGAAACTGATTAAATTTTTTTACCCCGAAAATAATAGACAAGGCCTCCCGTTCAATTTGAGCATAATTTTTCTCACTTGAGCTGAGGGTACGTGACGCATATGCTATTGGCCTTTCTTGACCATCTTCCATTACATGACTAAGCACTGCCCCCAAACCATAACTCGATGCGTCACAAGCTAACTTAAGCTCACGATTTAGATCATAGTGGACCAACAGCGACTCACTGGTGAGGCCCTCCTTGCATGCCTCGAAAGCTTTCTGGCAGTCATCTGTCCATTCCCATTGAATATTTTTCTGCAAAAGCCTATGCAGAGGTGCTAAGGTTGTAGCCAGCCCTGGCAAAAAGGAATGATAATACTGAACCATGCCCAGGAAGGACCTTAATTCACTCACATTCTTTGGGGCTGGGGCTCTTTTCACTGCACTGATCTTCTCCTCCACCGGTTGCAGGCCTTCGGCACTTATTCTCAGACCTAGATAAACCACTTCAGGTTTCAAAAACTCGCATTTTGCCAGTTTTAAATGCAAATTGTATTGGTGTAGCCTGTCCAACACATCAGCAAGTATCTTGAGATTCTCTTGCCAGTCATTGCCCCCTATCAAGATGTCATCTTGTTTACAAACACATTTTTCAATTCCCTGAAGAATTTGATCCATTTTTGCTTGAAAGATTTTTGGGGATGACTTGACCCCATAGGGCAATTTCTGGTAGGAATAAAGGCCTTTATGAGTGGTAATTGTCAAGTACTCTTGACTTTCTTTGTCAACATTCAGCTGGGCATAGGCATGTGATAGATCAAGCTTACTAAATACCTTAGAGCCAACCAGAGCAGCATACAAATCCTGAGTAGTAGGTAAAACATATTGCTCATCTTCAACTGACTGATTGATAGTGGATTTGTAGTCTCCACATATTCTGACAGTGTTATCAGCCTTTGGCACTACCACAATTGGGCTAGCCCAAAGTGACCTGTCAACTTTCTTAATAACACCATGCTTTTCTAGTTTGTCTAACTCTTTTTCGACTTGCTCTTTTAAAGCGTATGGAACCCTACGCGCTTTCACGAATACAGGTTTTGCATCGCCTCTCATAGTAATATGGGCCTCAAGGCCCGTCATACCTTTGTAACTCTCAGTAAACAATTCGCTATGTTTAGATAGCAACTCATTCAGTTGACTATCAGCACTCCTAGGGTCTCCCTTGGGAATACAAAATATCTCACCCCACTCAAACTTAATGTGCCGCAGCCAGTTTTTACCAAGTAAAGTAGGTTTTGCATCATAATTGGCTACAAGAATGGGTAGAGAGTATGGTTTACCCTTATACACTATGTCACACTGCATTTCCCCTGACACATCAAGTAATTCACCCGTGTATGTCTTAAGTGTTACTTTAGAAGGAGACAGAGGCTTGTCTGCAAACCTCTCTAGATATTCACTTCTACTCATTATTGAGAAATCTGCAGCTGTGTCTAACTCCATCATACACAGTTTACCATTGATTTCCATTTCTACAGTGTACCTATTGCAATTAGGCTTGTTTTGGTCAAGCGAATTCAGAGAATAAATTCCTAATTCCTCATCCTCACACTCATCATTGCCTGATTCTGAAGCCTGTACACTATGAATTTTACCCTTTTTCTTTTCATCCTTACTGCGACAAACAGAAGCTAAATGCCCAATCTTGGAGCACTTGTAGCATTTTGCTGACTTAAATTTACAAGACTGACCTGAATGATTACCCCCACACCTAGGACATGACAATTGTTCAGTGTTCTTCTTTTCAGTGTTTTTACTTCCTTGTTCTGTCAACTTGTTTACTTGAACAGTTTCACTGCGTGAAGGGTGAAATTCTTGGGTGTTCCTGTCTGCCATCTCCATGGTCTGGGCAATACTGCAAGCCTTTTCGAATGTGAGGTCATCTGTGTTCAGTAGTTTGTTTTGTATCTTCGGATTGTTCAGTCCGCATACGAATCGGTCACGTAACGCCCGATTGAGGAATTCACCATAATTACAGTGGACCGCCAATCTCTTCAAAGCCAGCACATAATCGCTAACTGATTCTTCGGATTTTTGATTTCGCGTGCCAAAGTGAAAACTTTGTGCGATTTCCAGGGGCTTCGGGTTGTAGTGTTTCTCCAAGACTTCCACAATGTTAGTGAATGACACGTCCTTCGGTTTAGTGGGCGCCAATAAGTTGCTGAGGGTTGTGTATACCTCCGGCCCCACTTCTGTCAGGAAAATGGCACGTTTCCTGTTCGCTACCACAAGGTTGGTGGCAGCGCTTCCCTCTCCTGTTGTCGTTACAATGTTGTTGGCTGTAAAGAACATTTCCATCCTCTCGACGTAGGCACTAAACGTTTCACGTGCGACGTTGAACTCGCCAACACGTCCAAATAATCCACTCGCACTAGTGCTGGCCATCTTCTATGCCACAACACACAACACACACAGCACACACAGCGTTGTCCAAAGACCTTGCACTTTTGAATGACGTGGAAAAACGACCGATCCTCGTCGCCAAAATGTAATATATTGCTAGTGATATAAACCCACGAGGTCAAACAACATGGCCGCTTCAACACAACTTTATTCCAGCAATGTATTCTGGGTACATACACAGTAACCCTAGAGGGTACTTAATATTATGCCAAAAGGATGTTATCCTATTTCGTACAATTTTTTTGCTGATCTTGCATACAATAGAGGTAAGTGAGATTGGACGGTAGTTTTCTCTCAAGTGTTTAGAACCTTTCTTATGGAGTGGAACAATATCTGCTGACCTCCAGTCTTCGGGCAAATGCCCAAGCTGGAAAGATTTGTTTACCAAATATGAGATCGAAGGAGTTAACTCCGATGCGCACGATCTTAAAATTACTGGTGAAATACGATCTGGTCCCGGGGACTTGTTCGGTTTGAGGGAATTGAGACATTACTTCGCCAGAAATGCAGGAAATAACATTGAGTTTCTCGCTGACTGTAGGTTCTAAGGAAGGCATATTTGCGAGGTCTTCAGTAGTGAATACAGAGGAAAAGTACGAGTTTAAGCTGCTAGCAATGCTAGAATCATCTGTCAAGACTTCGTCGCCAACATTTAAGGATACTAAATTATTAGTACCATTGCGTTTACGCTTAACGTAATTCCAGAAAGGCTAAGAATCACCACTGAAGTCAAGTTCCGAGGCCATGTTAATGATGTAAGTCCAGCGAGCTTGGTTGCATTCTCTTTTCACAGCATTGTTGAGCTTTCGGTATTTCTCCCAAAGGACGGGGTTGGCACTTTTTCGAGCTTTGCTATAAAGCGATTTCTTTTTCCTGCACAGGTTAATGAGGTCCTTTGTTATCCAAGGTGCGTTACTTTTTCTCTTGCTTTGACACAAGGGAATACATTGATCCATAGCTGTAAACATCAAGTCTTTCCAGCAGGACCAGTTATAATCAATGTCATCATCGAAAAAGGCACAGCTCCAAGGAATATAAGATAATAAAGACTTCAAATGTGTCCAGTCAGTCTTGCTGTACGAATAGAGAAGCTTCTGGGATTTACGCTGTACATAAGGCGAGCAGAGGATCCTGAAACTAAGGGATCTGTGATCAGAAAAACAATCTCCAACGAGTAATCGATCCACAATATCTGGCGAAGTTGAAATAACTAAGTCCAGAATATTCTGATTCCTTGTAGGCGCTCTGACTAATTGCGTTAAGAAATTATCCTGGATTATGTCAATTAAATGAACATAAATATCTGATTGATGCAGAGCTCTATTGCATGACCAGTCAATGTCCGGCAGGTTAAAATCTCCGAGCAGAATTAATTCGGCTGTTGAATTCAATTCTTGAATACAGATCCGGAGGTCTTCTAAAGGCTTTGTATCTCCTCCAGGGGGCCGATAGAACACACCAAGGGTAATCCGCCGCTTGTGAGAGAAGAGCAAGTCGATGAAAAGCAATTCGAATCACACTGATGAGTTATGCGAAGAGTAGGTGGAATGCAATCTCGAAATGCAATTAACACACCACCACCATGACGGCCACTGGTCGTACGATCTTTCCTGAAGACAGTGTAGTGTGAAGGGAAAATTTCGGAGTCGAGAATGGAATGGTCCAAATGCGTCTCAGTTAGTACAATTAAATCGTAGTTCCTCTGAGACATTTCCAACTCAAGTAGGTCGAGTTTGTTGACGATACTGCGAGCGTTTGCATAAAATGTGTGAAGCCCGCGGAGGTTAAATCCATCTTGTTGTGGCTCCGGGTTTGCAGTGCTGGAGTTAACTGGGCCAGGGTTTGGATTAATATCACCACTTCTCATTAGAAATGATCTTTGGAAGCTTGAGACGGAGTTTGGATAGTAGGCAACTCTCGAGGATGAAAACCCTTTGCGACTGATAGTCGGTGTGTAATGGCGGCCGCATCGTGTTTGGTTGTAGGCAACAGCTCGGTCAAACAATCCAATCGACGGTCCATGAATCACATCAGAAGTTATACATACCTCCTTATGGCATTGATAGATGTCAACAGTGATATCTTTTAATCTTATGATATCCTGTCCAAAAGACTTGAAAAGAAAATTGACTACATACAGCTTCCAAATGTCCACCCTCTCAAAAAGATTCTTAGTAGCACTCAAAGGAAATGTACAGCACACGGTTTGGTGATGAGGTAGTTTGTTTTGGCCCTGCTGCGACCAAATCAGTGTCATAAGATCCCATTAAGGTGAACCATCTCATAAAGCTTGGCTCAACTCTACATTAGGACTGCGTCCTACGAATGCAATAACTTATAAGCAATAAAAACCCTTGAATATAAAATAAAAAATATTGGAACAAAACCCAGAACAAAACGATAATAAAGAGTGTACTTATTAAGCATTTCGGAACTAACAAGAGCTTTACTACCTGAATGGAACTAGTCCCCTGAATTTTTGATGTAAACAGAATTTTTTTGTGGGGTCATTCACATGCTTCAAACTCAGTGCTTGCATTATTCTTACTGGCCTTCACTGTATGTCTCTTCGTGGCCAATAATGGCAAAGCATGTTACTCCACTTTTCACAGATTTAGGAGTCCATGGAAACACTAAGGGTAAATGTGTTCTTCGCATCCTCTCTCCACCAGGTAAATGTGCTTCACAAATCCTTGTACTTGATGCATCTTGCGTTAAATTGGTGTTCCTTGTCAATCGTTTGTACTCTTTTCTAACCTTCTCATCACTTAGTAGTGTGTAAAACTTTAAATTTGGACTGTTTCCCCAGTTGTTGGAACAGTTTGGAACACAACAACCACAATTTATTATCTTGTACTGCTTGGCTCACAAGTACTGTCCCCCAAAACAGTTCCATTATTCAGTACCTCTGAAAAACTTGACCCTTTAGATAATTTGATTTTGTTTTTGAAGGTGATTTGCAAACATGGAGGAATGAAACGCTTCCATTTTCCTCTTTTATTTTTTAAGGCCTGAAGTTGGAAATGTTTCCTTTTGATATAAAAGGATCCTGTGACAAAAACTGTAACTTTGATAATAAGCAATGGAAAAAGTCACTAAACTATGGGAAAGTTCAGACATCCATAAACAACACATGATAACTGATAGACTTGTTGATATATACTAAAGAATAATTATAGATACATGGTATCCAATTTCTTGGAACTTTTCATGAACTAGTTAACTCCCAAGATCTCATTCGTTATTCTCCTCACTGTCTACTATACAATTCTTATGATATTAACTCAGAGAATTTGGTATTGGATCAACTAATAATCCACTATTAATACTTTTCCTTATTCTCGTCACTTCTCCACCTGATATTGTATCAATGTGGTGAGTAGAAATTCTGTTATGGTCACTCGTGGGAGTTAAAGGGTCAAAGTTTTGATAAAGAGGTGGTGTGTTTGTTTTGGTCGAAGATGATGGTGTTGTTTAGACAGCAATGACTCAACTATAAAAATAGGTACCCAATGGGTACATGAGTCTACAGTGAAGGTGAGTTATTTGTGAGTAACATGTTTCGTCTAGCTGTGTCAAGAAACGAAAACATGGTTGTACTCATAGCTGGTTTGAAAAGAATACACAACAAATTGCATAGGCTCATGATACATTGCTTGAAGGAAAAATATTACTTCCAAAATGATGTTGATCTAGCGAGGGAGCAGCATAGGATGCACACATTACCCTACCTGTAATTTACAACTTCAAAGTTGTTCAGAATGGTGACTTACACTGTAGGGTAGAAGACTACAAACAAAACTGAACATGTTACATGAAAGTCAGGAAGTAAGAAATATCTTCAGTGGGCATTGCAAGCAACACCTTCATAATTCAGTTATAAAGAACGTTTGAACATGCAATTTTAAAAAAATCAACAAATAACTGATTGGTATCAGGGAGAAGTTTCAGAGTCAACAAATTGCTTGGAGCATTGAGAGCAGCATATAAACACGCTTTTATGTTGGTGTTTAGGTTGTAAAGTCTTTAGCATCTTACAAGCTTTGTACCGAGGAGACAACTTTTGTTTTTCAGTTGTACGAGATGTTCTGTCTTCGTAGACTTAAGGCCACTTGTTATGATGTCCTCTGTTAGAGGCTGGTCATGTGGTAAACCAAGTGCTTGCAACAACATCTTGGAACATTGTTATGGTAAGACGAGCATTGTTGTCTTCTTCAATGAAGGCTTGAATATAACATGTTTTCTTGCACTTTTCAACTTTCTGCGTAAAACTGCACTTTGTGCATTTTGTTGACTTGCACTCTGTCAATTATTTTACTTTTGCTTTACTTTGATGCCAATAAATTCAGCTTGCGTTGTTTTTGTGAGGAACATATCGGGCAAGTCAGTAAAAGTGAAGAACAGTTCCCAAAAGATACTGTTGGCTGTCTGTCGGCCATCTGTCGGCCATCTGTTGGCCAACTGTTGGCCGACTGTTGGCCGACTGTTGCCTGTCTGTCTCTCTTGATATTTGTCACTTCTCTTTATGCTTTTTACTATCATTTCTTCATTATACGTTCATGGTGTATCTAATCCTGCCACGGCTCTCTTGGTTGCTTTTAATGGTGACAGGCACAACATCCCTGATCAAAACCACTGTTTTAGTCATCACTTCAGTACAAGCTCATCAATTCCGTCATGTTGGAAGGCGAGACCTGGACTCAAACTCGTCAAACTAACTTTGTGTGCAGGTTATTTGGTTCTTTTGTCTGGAGATGTTAGTCTCAACTCTGGGCCTGCTAATAAACTGAATGACGTTGTCAAACTCCATGGACTCAAGTTTGTTCACCAAAACGTACAGAGCCTGGGCGATACAATTGATCAGCTTTGCCTTTTATTACAAGAGCTCCATTCAGGCAGACAAATAATAACTCTGTCTGAGACCTGGATCAAGCCTGACAGGAGTGACAGTGAATACTAATTACCAGGTTATAGACTTTTTT